TTTGCAAGTTTCTTTAGGAAATTTGAAGACAGACATAGCGTAAGTTGAAATAACTTGTGCAACAGACTTGAGGAGAACTTCCTTCCCACTAATGGATAATAATTTTTCTTTCCATCCACTGATTTTCATGATAATACGGTTGATTAGGTATTGAAAATAGTCGTTCTTGTCCATACCCATGGTATTTGGCAACCCCAAATATCTATCATTGAAAGCCTCCATCATGATGTGCAGAGTGGTAAAAATTTGCTCCCTTATTTCCACTCTTGCAATGGGCTAAAAAAATTGCTCCCTTAACTTTAGAAATATTTATTTTTCACTTTCCTCCCCATGTGCTAAAAGAGAATATAAACTATCCGTACTTTTATTGCGAGGAATCAAAGGGTTTATTATTCCATAGTGATAGAGTTGAAATCTTTAGTGACTAAATCGCTAACACATGGAGGGAATTGCCTACGCCAGAAGGTTGTACTATTCTCCATTCTATCAAAGTTGGCTAAACTATCTGCAACTCTACTCTGTTGATGAAAAACTGGAATAACAACCCTATCATTCAAAAAACCCTTGATCTCAGACATCAAGTGGCCATAAGCTGATCTATCCAAGGAATCATAGGAAAGCGTTTTGAGAGTGATTGCACAATCAGACTGAAGCATAATTCACCTATTGGAGTGTTTCACCAACATCCTTAAACCTTCAATCATTGCTTGTAACTCCGACTCAAGGGTCTCATTGCAATGGAAGAGTTTCCGGTAGGCAGCGAAAATCACCCCACCGTCTCCATCTAGAAGTATCACACCTGAACCTACCGTGCCATCCTTATTACTAAAGGAACCATCCGTTGACAATGCAACCCACCCCACTGGTGGCTTCGGCCAAGCACTTTGTAGCGACCAGACCTCAAACAGTCTGATCTCTGTGCTCCGGTGTCATCCCTGGATCAGTAATGCTGACACCACACAGTACTCGGAGGATTTATAACAGAGTAGCAATCACACACTTATTACATCGAGTGTCTCAATAGAGAACTTATTACAATAAATATGGCTTAAGGTCATCTAATAACGATAACAGCGGAAGGCTTGGAAGATAAGTGAGTCCATCAACTCCAACGGCATCACTGAGTATAGAACCACGACCTAAAAACTCCTTCATCGTCGTCTGAAAAGTCTGCAACATTAACGTTGCAGCCCGAAACGGGTCAGCACATGGAATATGCTGGCAAGGTAACACATAGAGAGTAATGGAATGAAACAACTATACTATATGCATATTTGGCTGGTGGAAAGCTCTATGGTTACAGTTCTGCGTAAAGCCAATTTTTCCCTACCACAAAGGAATAAAATTTATTTAACTATCATGGTAGTTGTTAAACATTGAGAATGGTTGACAGGATCCTCAATCCCAATTAAACATCATCATTATCAAAACCCAACAAAATTAATTTAGAGGAACATGTTGAGATTCACATGATAATCCAGGTACTAGATATTCAAGATGTCCATAACCCGGGACACGGCTAATCATGATTAGTTTAATACACTCTGCAGAGGTTTACGCACTTTTCCCCACAAGACTCGATCGCCTCTGTTTGGTTTCTCGCACTACATGGCATTTGAGAAGACGGATGACCGAGACATAGTCTTTCAGAAGCGCTAGCACCTTACGATCGGATAGACCGTACCACCTACATCCCCTACATCTGCTAGTCTACCACTGTAAGAGTTCGCACGACTTAGTCAACTATGCTAGAGCCCATAATAGCTTGTGGCTGCACACGGAATTTTCTAGCATGAATAATCTCATGATCCCTTTGAGCCTGGGTGGCGGTCCAAAAGAAAACAGGCAATCCTGGAATACCCAGGTACCTCAATCCACCCAGATGTGTCTTTAAGTTGCCACCTTAGGTAAACCATTAATTAACAAACTTACATCTGTCATGGATATCACTCACCCAATCCACGTCTACTAGCATAGCATGGCATAATGGCAAACGTAGAAGTAACTCCCAAAGGTTTGATATATATAACAGGTGATAGGTACTACCTCAACTACTTCCCATCCCACAATTTAATTAGATCCTAATCATGCAATGTTTGAGGATTGATCTAATGCAATAAAACTGGGTAGTAGAAAAGGTATGATCAAAGTGTTACTTGCCTTGTTGATGATCCATGAAACCTAGCGACTTGAAGTAACAAGCAGCACACTCCGGGTATTCTATCGCAGACAAACAAACAAGCATACAATAAGTACTCATCTAATGCACAGGTAAAAGTCAAATAAGAGATCTAACCAGAAAGTTCAACTTAAGAACTCCGGTTTGCAAAAAGAATCAAATCGAATGAAGCAACAAAAGTCAAACGGCGAAAGAAAACAACCTCGTTCTACTAATCTGGATCTAAGTCAAATTTTACAGTAGCAAAAACTTATTTAAGTTGGCTTGAATCGTCTGATTCTGATAAACGAGCGAAAAATTATACTAAAACAAAAATCGGATCAGAAATCGTGATCAGAAAAATCATGGATTTAATCCGAGAAAAAGAAAAAACGACGAACGTTCACTAGAACGAACAAACGGACGAACGCTCGCTAATTAAATAAATCGGAAAACCGATCTATTTAAAAAAACCGAAACTAAAAAAACCAACGGAAAAACCGAACGGTTTTTCGAAAAAAAATGGCGGCACGGATTTCGAGGCGACCTCGGGCGGCGGGCGGTGGCTCCGGCGACGGCGCGGCGGGCGGCGGCGGCGCGGCGCGGGGTTCGAGGGCGGCGGCTAGGGTTTGGCTCGGGGCTAGGCTGCCCCGGCTTTTAAAGCCTGCCCGGGCCAGAGTCCCAGGCGGACACGGCCCGGTTAGGTCGGTGCGCGTTTTTTTTAATAATTACGCGCAGAAGAAAATTAAAAAGAAATACTAAATTTACGCCAAAAATCCCGAGATAAATTTTCCTGGGCTTCTAAAATCAAGCCGCACAAGGTGAACATTTATTTGGGGTCTAAATGCAATTCTGAAAAACGCACATTTTTTCTAAATTCAAATAAAATAACGAAAAACTCCGAAATAAAATCTTATTTGATTTTATTATTAAATTCTCAATATTTCTTTATTTTGGGAAAGTCATTTTATTCCCTCTCTCATATTCTTGTAATAGAAATAATTGACGATAAAATAATAAAAATCAAATGATCCTATTCTCAAAATTTGAGAAAACTCAAATATGAAAATAATGAATTTCCCAACTCTCTCCGTGGGTCTTTGAGTTGCGTAGAAATTTCTAGGATCAAACCAAAAGCAAAGTAAAATATGATATGCATTTATGATCTAATGTATAACATTCCAAATTGAAAATTTGGGATGTTACACACTTGGGGGGAACTATGACCTTCAAATAAATGCCCGGTTCACTAACATGAGCGGTTTACCTTTGATGATTTCCTCAACGCTCAATGAAATTTGGTTGTAAGAGTTATAATAGCTGATCAAGAAAGAACATGACACTTCCAGTGGCGAAAGATTTACCATGTTCCAACTCGTTCCTGAGATGCCAAATTCTCCACAACACCATGATGATCTTGCTTCTAATATGCTCATGTGATCCCGCGAGGAGGTGAAACAGCCACTCGTCACCTTGCAATAACCATTGGAACCTAGATGCCTCCTATTCTTTTCTGCGTTGGTGGCTAGTGGCCCGGACGATACCTGCCATGCTCCCTGTCTCGTGGGCATAAAACTCTCAATTTCTTTCGAGTTAAGCTGCAGGGGAAACCCCCGTGGATTCTGATAAATAAAAAAAATCCCCACTA